AAACCTTCCTTTAACCCGGTTGGAAAGGAATCATATACTAAACAAAACTAACCAACGCAGCTTACTAAATACCACAAATCATAGAATAACAGCATGACTAAGAAAAGGAAACCAACGGTACCCAAACCGGATTAACCCAGTTTAAAACTGGATAATTTATTCTTTTGAAGACTATTACAAAGTCTTAGAAAGAAATAATAAAACACAAAAAAGTCGAAAGACAAACCCATACCACAAACAATTTGCTTTTTGGAAAAAGTACATAACCAACAAGACATAAGTAAAACCACAACAAACCCAACATAAAACGTTGTCACATAACAGGACCCCTCACAAACACCGCATGAAATCATACTCCCACTCCTGGCCTAACCCACCAGGAAAGGACGTCCTGAGCATGCTCTATAGCCGGCCTAACCCACCGCGCTACATCCACGCTTTGTGACCACACCTTTATTTTTAATAAGAGCTACTCAAGGGTGAGTAACTCTTCAAAATAACCGAACTAAAACAAAAAGCTTTTGTGAAAACAACTAACTAAAATCATTATTAAAAAATATTAAACTAATAAAAGTTTTATTAAATGTAAAATCACATGATGCAATATATAGATCAGAATACAACACCAAGGACGAACATCAAAAGACAAAACGACCCCACTACACTCGAGAGAGAATGACCAACTACAATCGATATGCCGCTCACAATCACAACTCAAAGGATTTAGAGTACGACTTGACTTCGCAGAAAAGGACTTCATTGAACTAGACCAATGACCACCTCGATGTTCAAGTATACGTACAGATCCGAGTAACCAGGCATCCCCTCCACGCACAATCTCCACGCCATTCCCAAGCTAGATCAGACACAAAAGAAGTTCTCCCCGAAGAACAGAAAAACCTGACATAGCCAACCATTCTGAAATCAGAATTGATTTTGTTGCAGAGACTCAGTCGTTGTCACAAGAAGAAGCGGAAGAAAATTATGATGTTCGCCAAATACCAACGTCCATCATCCACCCTTGAATTACAGAAGAACTGTTCTAAAAAACTCTGTAAACCCCGGATGGGTGGAACCTGATCTAAACTATATTTTATGATTGGATAAATTAAATGTTTTACCAATGTAAAGTATTTAATATTAACCAATCATGATCCATCTAACTAACAACCCACTTATTTGTAAGTGCTGAAGTTACTTGTAATTTCAGCACCAGAGAGATTTGAATTTAACTTAGAAATTAGTTGGACTCTCCCGAGCACTTCAGCAGCCGCAATAAACCAGTATACCCTAGATCTATTGAGCCTAGCAGAGACTAGTTAAACAACCTGAGACTAGATAGTATAAGAGTAAGATTAGGATCGGTATTAGACTAAGAAGTTGCACGAATCTATCCGGCCGAAAATAAGATAGCGTGACGAGCAGACGGTGTACCCTATCCGAAATTACTCTATGAGTTATACACTCCAGTCATAACTCAGCAGAATCATGCACATGGAGAAATTTGTGCTCATGTGGTTCTTGCAGCCCAGTGACGAAAATCTCGCCAATGGAAAACTGATGAGTTAACACTCTTCGATTAAATGTCCTAAAGTCATGTGTACTACTACTCCTACTACTAAAGCCCCAATTAAAATGCATATATTGCACAAAACGGAAGTCAGAAATTGAACACGAATGCGCGACTTAAGTACGAAAAAAAAATAAATAGCCGCATATCACCAGCTTGCGTAAACCATCAGTTTGAGTGTAAAAATATCCAAAAGACGTGTTAAAAAACATTACTTTAAAGCTCTTCGAATTTCAAGAATAATTGATAGTTGACACTTTATGAAAAAGCTAACCCGATTCCAGAAAACTGGTTTAATAGATTTTTTTTATTGAAGAGAATTCAGAAAATTGAAGATCGCTTTTGGAGCTACAAATCTTCCTAGTTTTTTGACCATTTTCTCGTTGGTTTTGACAACGATGCTAGCTCCTAAAATATTCCCCAGCTCTGCTAGACTATTTGTTTACCGGAAAAAACTTTATCTTCGTTCCGAGTTAAAAAGGTGCTTTCGAATCTGCTACACACTTTTTGCTACAAACTATCACATCAGATCAATCTCAGTCGTTCAGCAATTTAACTCACTGATAAAACGATATCAAAAACCACTGCGGCCATATATTAATATGAATAAGATGAGTTAACTCTTTCCTCTTTAACATAATCAGATTTTTTTCTAACCGAGTTCAGCTCGTTTAGATATTAGCAAAAAAATACACAATATCTTATTGACATGACCGTTTGATTATAATGGATGTATTTCTCTACATCTACAAACGAAATTCCGCGTTTAACACGTGTGTCTATCACGCAACTCAGCGTCCTTTATCCTTCTGGATGATCCATTTATATCAACTGAACCTACCAACGCCAGCGGCCAACATGAATTCGCATTATTCCATTTATTCCTTTCCTCCCTCATCGCAAGTTGAACAGTTACTTTTAGATACGCCTCAGGTTGGGAAAAATCCTTGGTTGCCAAAAAGACCCAATGACAGAAAAATATACAAGACGATCAGAATTTAAAAGTGTGAAAAAACATGAGTTAGAGAACCGTTTGAAAACTGTTTGTGTATAATTTTTTCTGCCCATTGAACCTTCTGCCACGAAACTAGATCCCGCCCTTAAGTAATATTCAAGTACCAAAATACGTGGTATGTAAGTGAACGTGAAAAGCGTCGCATTCCAATGAGTCACATTTTATTCCCTCCTTTCCCAGTAGAAAAATAACAATAACATTGTCAACAGATGTCAGAATTATAGGACAGTATTGATCGTATTGGCGCTGTGATAAAATGAAGACGATAAATTTTGCCATATTTATACCCTAAAAATTCAGTTTTGGGATCTTGCTAACTATCCCCCCCTATGGTACCTTGTAACGAATTCCCCCTATAAAGAAATAATCGAACAGTTAAGCATATACGAATTTTGTACCTTGTTAATTGAATAGTAAGTTCAGTCTAACTTGAAAATAAATAAAACTTCGAACGGAGAACAATGGCCTGGTATCACCAAAAATTCTTAAGCCAATTTAGTCTTCATTGAAGGAGTTCTGGCACAGAGGCGAAGCTGCGCTTCGCAAACACTAGCAATAAAACGATAAAGCAGCTCTATAAAATGAATGAAAAGGTAAAAATAAGACTTAAAAATTAATTATTCTGCTATGACGTTGACAATTTACTAACCATAGCCACAAAGTAAGCAGCTACATATGCTAAGAAATTGCCAGTGCTATGCAACAAAAATCTCACCAGATACAAATCGACACAAATTTTACAGGTAATAATTTCGAATATACTTAAATGAGTCCACGAAAATTTTTCATGTATTAAACTGGAAAGCATGAAGCCAAATTATGATAAATTATGCATTTCAAAAAATGGCAGATATATTGAGTAGAAAATTTCCAAAATTGTACTGTTGTTTGGAATCAATAACTGTTTTCGGTTCATTTGATGAATCAAAAATGAGTCAACTGTAATAAGTTATTACTGATCGAATGTCAAATCATTTGCTACCGAAAACCGCAAAGTGGCAAGAGACTTAAAAACAAAAAAAGGCCATTTATGCGACAATACCCCAAAACTTTGTTTTTACGCAAGATAATACAATTACTCGCCAATTACTCATTGCCGGATCAATTAACAAATACTTGCGAAAAAAAACGAGTTCTTCCCTGGCCTCACTCATGGTTCACTGGATTTGTCAGCTATTGAGCATGCGTGGCAACATATGAGAACAAAACTTCGATAAATACGATCAATTCCCAAAAATGCTGGAGAAATTAAACCGGTACTCCAATATCTACGGTTGAACTTTCTCTAAATTTCGATAGAAACTTCAAATGCTTCATTGTCAAGTAGAATGTATGCCGGCTAACACTCATTTAAAATCTGGATCAATACGTAAAACTTTCATTTCGCTGGTTAATCTGAAAACTAAAATCCACTTTCGAAACTAGAAGTTGATAACATTTTTCGTGACCATCACACTTTTGCTGTTCGATAATGGAGTTTTCCTTCCTTTTAACAATGGAAATGCACTGAACTTAAAAAGAAATCACAAGTCAAACCGTGAAAAATCAAAATTGATCGTGACAAATTTTAAGACTTTTACCAGGCTATTTCAAGCAGTGTTCTTTTTCAGCCAAACCCTATACGCTGAAAGCTAATATTTCGCCATATACGAACATTGAACCGGTTAACGAATCGTGCGCCATTACACTAGTGGAAGATTGTTAACAAGATCCTCAAATTGAAATGAAGACGTCGCACTTTTTATTTGATTCATGGCGAGCAGCGACGGAGGAATGCTTTGATCAATACAATCCACCGCAAAAAAGACATGGAAACGGGAAATGCAGAAAAGTAGTGGCTTTTAAGACATCTTTTCAGTTTAGGCCATTCCTTACATGTAATAATCAGCCAAGTGCGTCACTGAATTAACCTCTCCTTTCGCCACACGAACCCATCAATGAAGAACAGAATCAATGAAGAGGTTGAGTTAAAAATGCAAATACGTGCTAGCTAGGATTTTTGGCTGGTTCATTGCAAGGTTTCCCAGCCTTTTCGGTCAACAAGTCATCTGATTTTAAAAACTCGATTTTAATTGAATTTCTGAAGACGTAAATATATACTTATTTTGAGAGAGAGTGGCGGAAAAAAAGCAGTGCCTTTGATCAAAACTTACCGCCAAAACAGCAATTTTGGCAGATTTTATTGAACAAAAACTCCGATATGTCTCGTGAAAACCCTAGATTTAATACATGAGACCAGGACACAACGCAAACCTATTTGGGCTAACCAAAAATCTTACTCACATAGAAGAAAACAGTTTCTGTCCAAAATATATGATGTCATAATACTGCAAGCAATTTCAATAACTTTAAACACTCTGAGCTAGCTTTTAGCGCACAAACACTCTTTCTTACATCTAGTTAATTCAAACAAACCTGACATCTGCTCGCGCATTTCCAGTTTGGATTTCTCCTCCTGCTGCTGCAGATTCTGTGTTTTGATGGTGGCTATCTTACTTAGTCCACCGCCCAGAGTTGACTGACTGGCTAGCGAATGGCCGTGCATCATGTTGGGGTGCTGCTCCTACACAAGAAAACAGCCCAGTTGACAAGATCTAGTTTTCAGATACGGTGAAATCATCATACAGAGCCTTCAAATGGAGAGACGACACGGGGCTCTGCATACACAGGCGAAAACGGCAAAAAAGAGCTTTAAAAATTCTAGAAAATACAAACATAACCCTTTAAATTATATAAACTCAACCATTCGACCCATAAATAGCGCGTTATTGGGCTTCTCCGATAACCCAGCCATCTAATTGCCTTCCTTAGTAATAGTAAATATCCGGCCGAAACTAAAACGCTTCAATAAAATTTGAGCATGAAGATTAGCGATAAAGGTAACTCGCAAAATAATAAATTGCAAAAAAATTGAAAAAGACAAAATAATTAAAACATGGCTAACACAGTTGGAAAAGACTCAATGAATGCAAGTAAACAAAAAAACACTGACATGTTTTTTTTTTTTTAAATCTCAACTTTCGAATTTCAAAAAAAAAATTAAACACCCTTAAATCTCTTTGAATTTCTAGAACAATTTGTTAATGGCGTTTTTTGACAGCATTAACCCAACTAGAGAAAACTGGATCAATAAGAAAAGTTTTTATTTCACCGGGAAATCTGAATATTAAATTAAACTTCGAAACTAGATGTCGATTAAGTTTTTCGTGACCTTTGCACTTTTGCTGTTCGATGGTGGAGCTTGCCTGTACTTTAACAAATGAAATGAACTGACCTTAAAAAGAAATCAAACCACAAAAAGAAGTCAAACCGCCAAAAAAATTGATCCTGAACAAATTTGAAAGACTTTTCCTGAAAAAAAAATATTCAATTTTGAGCTAGTTTTGCATGCAAACTAGAACTTTTATAAGAGCATGAGACAGACTTTCGGTCTGACAAATTGGCTTTTGCGTGCAAAAATTGTCTGAAAGAGTTTATTTGATCTTTTTAATGAATTTTGTCTATTCCAATTTATTGCAACTCTCTATATAACACAGGCGCTTGTTTGTGTAAATAGCACTGAGGATTTAGATCAGTTAACTATTCCACGCGCCACAAACGTACGTCAATATAAATAAAACCGCCCTTCGATCCTATTTTAGACATCCATTTTTCATCGAACGAACCTTATATTTTTGAGAGTCCTAGATGCAGATGCGAAGTAGAACACTGCAGTCAAGCATCATAAAAGAGCTCTAATAATTCAACAAAAAATGGAGAATAGATCGCAAAACAAAAAATATAGCTAACAGACCGTTGAAAAGTGTCACAATACACAGACCGGTTGGCATAGTGGTACATTTTGCATTCATTTACCATTCTGCTTGGCGACAAGGAGATGATCTGAGAAGCTGCGGCCACATTGGCCACTTGTGGCATCTGTTTGGTCGTCATTCCTTCCGAAGGCGTGCCACCGGGTGTCGTCTGCTGACCCCTGGGGAACCCCGGCGCCTCTTGATTCTGGTAGATGTTATGTGCATCTCCAGACGCAGGTGCCGAGGGATGGGGGTGAGAGTTAGAGCTGATTTTGTTATTATTGTCTGTTGTTGTGTTTTTAGATTGATTAGCACCACTGGATGCGACCGATTCCAGGTTCTCGTAGCCTCCGTTGGCAGAGGCCGCGTCTGGAAGCAGGTTGCGATACACCGGCTCATCCACAGAGTCAGTGCGTGAATAGTGCTGTAACCGATCGAATATAAGTACACTTGAAATTCTGAGCAGGTAATAAAAAAACCGTCAATTTGCCTAACCAGATACAGCTATCCAGTTAACGTCGTTTTTAATAACACAAGCTTTGCTTGTGTAAATAATCAAGTATTTAAACTTAAGCTTACAAACGTTGTTACTCAAAACCCTTGCATTCATCGTAGCTACACAGAATATCTACGTGACTGTTATAACGAAGTGAAAACTTACATTTACAACTTCTGACCCGTCTGGAGTCCACGATCCTCCGTTTGAGTCTGAGCCGGGTGAACTTAACTCAATGTTCTGTTCCACAGCAATAGCAGGCGTATTGCCACTTGTGGCAACAGGAGCTAGTAGAAGTTTCTGTTTCCCGTTCAACTTCAGTTTGTTAGAGCTTGTTTGGCTGCGCTGAGCTTGCTCTACTTTGTGTATTGTGCGCTCCAAAAGGTTCGGTAACATGTTAGCTGGCCTCTCCGCTGATATAAAAGGATCCTGAAAAACAATCAGTACTAGGACTACTAACTGAGGAGCTCCGAGAAATCCTGCCTTTATTAACTATATTTGTACAATTTTAAAAGCTAGTATGTTTTTTTATCTGTTTTTATCCTAATTGCGCAGTGTTCATACAATTCAATACGCCTTATTCAAATACTTGTTAATTATTGCAGAAGTAAGTTTCGGTAGTTTGTCTGAGTTGATGGCAACGTGATGTTGCTAACATTTTCTAGCAAATACTTGGACGTCGGCCGATCCTCGAAGTCTTTGAAGCAGTCGGAGACAAAATTGAGGAAATCTGGGGAGTAGTTGTTTTCCTGGAACGGTTTCAAGTCTGGTTTGTTGTTGGGGATGTGGTAGAGGGCTGCCATCACATGCATGGCGTGGTAGGGCGGGTAGCCAGTGGTGAACTCGAAGCAGCAGATTCCCAGAGACCACACATCTATTGTCTGAGTGTAAATGATCTCATCTTCTGATTTAATCACTTCAGGTGCCATCCTAATCAAACAATTCATTTTCATGCGAACCATTTTTATTTCAAGGCAAACGTATCGTACATATATTACATACTCGTATTATTTTCGATCCTGCTGTAAAACTAAAATTATGATTTATTCAACTGAAATATGTTCTCATATTTTAGCCTTTATTGAGTAACTAACCAATAAGGTGTGCCAATAAAGCTTGCAGCTTTGTTTGTGAGTGAGACTGTTCCGAAGTCTCCCAGTTTGACTTTACCGTCTGAAGATAACAGTATATTGCATGCCTTGACGTCTCTGTGGATGAAATTTTTGTCGTGTAGGTAGACCAGAGCCTGTAGCGTTTGATTACAGATCACTGCGATTTCAGGTTCGCTCAATGATGATTCATTAACTAAAAAAGAGTTATTGCCTAAGATTCAACTAGTGATATTATTCGCCGTCAACTAACATTTAAGATCTTTACCATTAAGAATATCGGCTGTGGATCCGAGGCAATACTCCATGACTATGTACACTTCAGGGGATCGAAGAAAGCAGTTGTGGTAGCGAACCAAATGCTGATGGTTACATTGGTGCATAACAGTGATCTCTTTAACCACCATTCGCCATGTCTCCTCTTTCTTATTCCTGTCATCTGCGCTATAATGAATTTTCTTTATTGCAACAACTTGCTTTGTGGTTTTGTCCTGGGCGTAGAACACGGTTCCAAAATTTCCAGAGCCGACACTCTGAAAACTGTCGTACAAAGCGTGTGGATCTGCATCCGCGAACAATGCACGCAGATTGTCATCTGTAATTTGGGAGACCCGACTGGGAGGAGACATGATCCGTTTATGAATGTTCCGTATCGATACAAATCATGTTTCTAAGAAATAATTGCTTATCAATGCAAATAGCTTCGAAAGCATTTTTCTAAATCTGAAATGATTAAGCTGAATCTGATCAACTCTAAATCTGAATTGACTTCTGAGTCAACTCTAAATCTAATAACTTCTAAATCTGATCAACTCACTAACCAGGATCTTCAATTTCAGGTAGCAGGGGCTAGTTTTCTCCACAGAGGAGAAACAGAGTTTCACACCACTTGCAATACAATCAGAGAAAACCAAATCGAATTGCGATACATACAATTTTTTTTATAAAATTTTTGCGTGTACTGGAGAAGCAGCACCAGGCTCTACAAAAACCATCCAGAAACTAGCAGAGAAACTAAGCGAGAAACGGAACGAATCATACTCGGACACAATAAACTTTATAAGAACAAAAATAAGTTTTGCACTTCTGAGTAGTGCAATCCTCTGCCTTAGCGGGTTCAAAAATCTTAAAAATACATCCAACATAGACAATTCTATCTGTGCTATAATCGAGAAGAGTAGATTTTAATTGACAATTCTCTTGATGCATTAATATCGACTTGATTTATTCATAAAATTTTGCCGATGTACTTATATAGCGTTGGTACGGCCCTATCCAACTTGTGCTTGTACCGTCGCATGACGGAAGGGCCCATTTTAATTGACTTTTTTTCCAATCAGAAAAAAAGAACCCCAAGAGGAACTTGTGCTTGTACCGTCGCATGACGGAAGGGCCCATTTTAATTGACTTTTTTTCCAATCAGAGAAAAAAAGAACCCGAACTGCCGAAAACATTGATAAAAGTGCATATGCAAAAAAAGTAAGGCAAACCCCAAGAGACAAAGCCGTTGAAAAAACGAGGAAGTACCTCAAAGATAAGCGTTTTTTCCAATCAGAGAAAAAAAGAACCCCTATCCAACTTGTGCTTGTACCGTCGCATGACGGAAGGGCCCATTTTAATTGACTTTTTTTCCAATCAGTGAAAAAAAGAACCCCAAGAGGAACTTGTGCTTGTACCGTCGCATGACGGAAGGGCCCATTTTAATTGACTTTTTTTCCAATCAGAGAAAAAAAGAACCCGAACTGCCCGAACTGCATTAATATCGACTTGATTTATTCATAAAATTTTGCCGATGTACTTATCTAGCGTTGGTACGGCCCTATCCAACTTGTGCTTGTACCGTCGCATGACGGAAGGGCCCATTTTAATTGACTTTTTTTACAATCAGAGAAAAAAAGAACCCCAAGAGGAACTTGTGCTTGTACCGTCGCATGACGGAAGGGCCCATTTTAATTGACTTTTTTTTCCAATCTCTGATTGGAAAAAAATATAGCGTTGGTACGGCCCTATCCAACTTGTGCTTGTACCGTCGCATGACGGAAGGGCCCATTTTAATTGACTTTTTTTTTCCAATCAGAGAAAAAAAGAACCCCAAGAGGAACTTGTGCTTGTACCGTCGCATGACGGAAGGGCCCATTTTAATTGACTTTTTTTCCAATCAGAGAAAAAAAGAACCCGAACTGCCGAAAACATTGATAAAAATGCATATGCAAAAAAAGTAAGGCAAACCCCAAAAGACAAAGCCGTTGAAAAACCGAGGAAGTACCTTTTTTTTTCCAATCAGAGAAAAAAAGAACCCCAAGAGGAACTTGTGCATGTACCGTCGCATGACGGAAGGGCCCATTTTAATTGACTTTTTTTCCAATCAGAGAAAAAAAGAGCCCGAACTACCGAAAACATTGATAAAAATGCATATGCAAAAAAAGTAAGGCAAACCCCAAGAGACAAAGCCGTTGAAAAAACGAGGAAGTACCTCAAAGATAAGCGTTTTTTCCAATCAGAGAAAAAAAGAACCCCTATTCAACTTGTGCTTGTACCGTCGCATGACGTAAGGGCCCGTTTCAATTGAATTTTTTTCCAATCAGAGAAAAAAAGAACCCGAACTGCCGAAAACATTGATAAAAATGCATATGCAAAAAAAGTAAGGCAAACCCCAAGAGACGAAGCCGTTGAAAAAACGAGGAAGTACCTCAAAGATAAGCGTTAGTACGGCCCTATCCAACTTGTGCTTGTACCGTCGCATGACGGAAGGGCCCATTTTAATTGACTTTTTTTCCAATCAGAGAAAAAAAGAACCCGAACTGCCGAAAACATTGATAAAAATGCATATGCAAAGAAAGTAAGGCAAACCCCAAGAGACAAAGCCGTTGAAAAAACGAGGAAGTACCTCAAAGATAATGGTTTGCTGGCGGTGCCTTTTGACAAGGGGGTTGGCTTTTGCATAATGAGGAAACAAACGTATGAATCAAAGCTGGAATCCTTGTTGCAATCTGCTCAGTTTTTGAAAAAAAAAGATGCAACCACTGATGAGGTTATACTGAAAATTAAGAAGGAACCTAACAAAGAATTACTAGCTATGGACAAAAGAGACAAAATAAGTGATCAGTTATATTCTTATAGATGTTATAGATGAGGTCAACAGGGGGCAACCCGCCCGTTTGTACGGTTTGGCTAAGGTACACAAGGCTGCAAAACCGCTACGACCAGTACTATCACATCCAGGCATGTGACATTCGACCAGAATGGACAAAAATGCAATTTCAAAAGGGTAGCCGCTGACCTTGAGAGTTGACAGTTTTAGAAGATTAGCAACGTTATTAAGACGATTAGACGAATCGTGAAGGTCTGAAAATTCTGGAATTTTTAAATTTTAAAATTTCGATTTGTGATGTCACACTTCCGAGAAACGTCAAAACGGCCATTTTTACAAGTAAACCAGAAAAAACACACAACAACAACGAGAATTGCGATAGAAACAACGACGAGAAATAGAAAACACGACAGAAAATTAGCAGAGATCGCTCCGAGTTGTAACGATTGTGTCGCTACAATCGTTACAAAGCCATTCACTCCAACGGTGAAGGGTGGTGGAACCGTGAATTCAGCCTTCCGGAAAGGAAATAGGAGTGTTATTTCCCCGGATTCAGGAATCCGGAGGGATCTCGAGACTTGAATTTAAACTGTTTTATACGAACTTTTAGCTTCCTGGTCATGCCCTGAATTGAATTTAATTAACATCTAGATTCATTTTCTAATAATGAGAAGCTAGGAGTTGAGGGAAGGGGTTGATCCATCTTCGATGGAGATGATGATTTTTATCTACTGAACAAAAACAATAATAACAGTAACGTTTTTGTCGACCCGATGTTGAAAAGACCACCAAAAGAACTGGCTTTGGTAGAGACGGTGAAAACCATGTAGAAGCGGCCAGTCGTTTTATAGCTTGTTTTATTTTTCGTCGATATGTTCTTCCTGGCGAAGGTTACATAGATGTTTTATGGCGCTCCTGGGTATTATTCTTTCTTAACATCATAACAGACAGAACCGTTAACGAGCACTGAGCACTCCGCGCGAAGCGGATGCTCATAATAACGCCCTTAATAGGCCCTAACCGCCGGGGCGGAAGGTTAGTTCGGAGCGCGGAAGCTTTCCGGATTCCCGTGAGTATCTTTTTAACCCAGTTAAGAACGAAAATTCAGGTTCCAGGAAGGGTGGGGGGATTGGCCGTCCCCTCGTTCCCTGAGAGGTATGTGACCAAAAACACTTAAAGATATTCAAGAAACCAAACAAAAAATAGTATAGTAACGAAGAAAAACAAAAAACAAAAAAAAATCACCGAAAAAACCAAAAACAGTAAGAAAAAAGTATAAAATCAGTAGAAATCATCCCCCATGACGAGATGTGATCCGACCCTCCCGTTTGTTGTTGTTAGATTTATATTATTGTTACAGGCATTTATATCAGTTGAGATTGTTACGATCAATTGTGTGGCCCGTTTGTGAGGCGTGTACTGTACGGTTATTTGAGTACTTAAGCACGTTAATGCTAATTTGCACTCAATCCGGAAGGGTCTCGGGATTAGTGAAGAAGACTGATCCGGCAAGCAGTTCAATGAGCGACAAGAAGGGGCTCAACGACAACAACAATCGACTGTTGGGTATCGTTAACAAGTTTTGTATCCCTTTTGGTACAAAAAGTAAGATAGTAATCTGCGGGGGGCTCGACAGTGCTGCACTGTAGTGACCCTTCACCGAACTGTGAATTTCCGAGTTAAGCACCTTATTTCGGATACTGAACAAACCCGGAAGGGTATAGTTTTACTATTATTATTACTTATACAGCCTATATTAATACTCCTATATCGTTTTTCAGTGAAAAACACAATAAATGGACCGGTTTTTAGGGTCAGAATAGCGATATTTTGATCCCCCCACAAATCGCGATTTTGAGATACCGATATTTTTTGAAACACAAAAAAGCGCTAAATTAGTGAGTAACATCGTAATTGAATTAGTATAATAGGTAGAACCGGTTGAGTTTAGACCAGAAGTGATGGAACTATTTGGGTACCAAAAACCGAAGTTTCGTGATTTTTGAATAAACGAAACGCTACAAAATAAGAAAATTTTTTGAAATTCTTGAGTTAGGACAGTAAAAATTGTTGTTCAGACAACGTCTACTATTGAATCGACAGGTTTCAAAACCCGTTTGCCGATAACCTTCCGGGTTACAGAGAAATCGAACTTAACCTTAACGTATTTGATTTAGTGGATTCATCAATCCGGAGGGGTACAGGTAGCATAGTTTTTTGCAAATTTTTTCAACTAAAGCGTTTTAGATCGGGTCTTTTGAATTGAACTAGAAGAGTAAAAGCCTTCTGAGCTCGGATCAATAATTTTTAGGTCGAAAGGACCTGATTTGCGGAAAAAGTTAGGCGGAACCTATAAGAGAGAAAAATTTTTGAGTGTAAAAAAAAAGGCGTTTTGGTTAATAACTTTGGAACTACTGGGCATATCGAGTTGATCTTGGTACCAATAGATCAGAAATTAGCTGAGCTTACTCATAGAAGCAATTACTCAATTATTCGAAAAAGTAAGCGTGAAAATTTTTTTTAGGATTGTTTTTTTAGCAAATTCACCAATTTGGGAAGGTAGACCCTTCACGTTTTATAAAAAAATTTTTTAGAAAGCACTTACACTCCTACCAAAGGGTAGTAACG